GTGTGTGTGTGTGTGTGTGTGTGTGTGTGTGTGTGTGTTGTATATATATATATATATATATATATATATATAAACGAATTGATGTATGTATGTATTTCAATTGCGCAGGGGTTGTCGAAATATGCATGGTGTACAGATCAATCTGTTGCTTGTAATCCATGGTTTACTCATACATATTTAACGGAAAACTATTAAATGATTGCATATGTTCATATATACTTGCTTCGTTTGGAAATTGTTTGCGCGTCTGTGGGAAGATTACGAATCCAGCATTCTAAAGGTGCACTTCCATATAGACACACATGTCAAATTAAAACAATTGTCAGCATCTGCACTTAAATTGGTCTATATATGCAAACGAGTGTATTTATGTATACAGGTTTTATACTTCTTTCTATGCACCCACACTTATTACAGCCGATAACATACTCACCCGTTGACATATTCCCCGGATAGCGTCTGCGAAGCTGTACGTCACAGTCTGGCGCATCTCGCTCACGTCCATATCGGAATCGCCCGAGGTTTCTTCTGAAGCACCAGAGCTGAATGCTTCAGAGTCGTCATCTTGGTCATATGCCATGCTTGTACACGGTGTTTAGTGGCGAACTATGGTGGACAGAGTGGTTGATGTACATTGATCAAATAGTGAAGGCCTCAAGTGTTCAGTATTTCATATCTGTTTGTGGAATCAGCATGTGGTGTGTATGTTGTATTTATGAGTGATATTCAACATAGTTATGCAAGATGTTTCCCATACATTGGGTGTGTATATAGTATCTAACTAACTATCTAACTCGGGTTGGAGAGAAGTCTACATTCCTATAACTAAACCCTGGCGGGCCTGGCCTCTGGTGCTATGCACCTGCTCTAAAGAGTCCCGTACTATTTACATACAGTGGGTCCTCACAACTTGTCACGGACCGTCCCTGGAAAAAAAGTTGACATCTACCGAGTTGACATCTATAACGCCATCTGATTGGCCGAGAGGTTCTTGGTTTATCCGACCATATGATAGGGGAAATGCACTGACTTTGAGCAGCGATCATTGGACTTGGGAACGCCTGTATTATAACGTACACATCATGTATACAACACAATCCGAAAATTGATATGAATTTATGATCACAGTTCTATTGAACCATATGCACAGTATGTGCCTGGCAAAATGCTAGTGTGTATACCATATGCTCTCCCTGCTGATTTCACAGCCTCCTTCACCATCGCGAACTTCATGTTTGTAACTGCGTCTCTATCAATACTCCAACCACTAGCCCTGATCTCTTCTTCTTATCGCATCAACATGGTGGTAGCAGTATGCATAACAACCTGTGTGCTTCTGATTGAGATACTATATAGTATGCATTTTTCTGATATAAGCGTGGATGTTGCTATAACGGTGCTATAACGGTATATATCAAACGGTTTTTAGTGTTTTAGTGCCAATCAAAACGTTCTATTATTTATAGCACCAATGTGTATGTCGCTAAAGGTCGGAAAAAAATTATGACCACTACGAAAATGAAAGTTGACATCTAACGGAGTTGACAACTAAAAAGTTGACAAGTTGCGAGGACTGTACTGACTTCTGAGTCCTGACTGTCTCACTTAGAAATTTGGCGGGAAGAAATAAGCGTCATGGTTTTTCATTGGATATGAACGTGCTAAATATAGAATGCCAAAGCCTGAACTTCATCAGTGCTATCAATCGACAGATATGTACTTCACATAACAATGCTTTATTTACCATATATGTATTTGGTTCAATATGAACCAAATTTCCTTTGGGAAGTACTGTATGTCGCTTGTAGAGTATTGCTTGTATTTAGTTATCTGTGTGACTGTGTGTCTGTGGCGTTTTCAAAAAAGATTAGCAGCGATAATCACCTGTACTATTCGCTTGTGTACAGAAAGCGACTCCTAAATCACAGCCACTCTACAAATCGAGGTACAACTCCTTGACTTGTGGACTTGAAACAGGCTCCAACCAACGCAGCCCTGGGTTACTACAGTTATAGGCAAATAACAGTCATTGTTTTATCATTAAATAACACCACATTGCGCACGTACTATAACCATAAGCCGATATAGTTTTATCGATTCAGAATGAGAATCTCGATTATTGCAGCCCCCATAGCTGGACTGTTTTCTTTGCTGAGTGTGTGCACATCGAACTATGCTGTCCTCAGAGTTAAAGGTATCTATATTCCACATATGTGGCTACCGTATGTGCATGATTATGGGTATGATTTAGACATGGGTTTATGTGCACAAGTGTGTTTATCTTCTTCCGATATATATATACATATATATATATATATATATATGTGTGTGTTGTGTGTGTGTGTGTGTGTGTGTGTGTGTGTNTGTGTG